TATCTCTATACAATGATCTAAGCCTTGCACTTTTTGTAGTCATTTCTGTGGAGAAGAATTCCTAGGAGATCGTATCGGACTCCCTGAAACCAGCTCACAGCGGGACTGGACTGAACAGGCTGGAACACCTGTGTGGAAGAGGTGCGGGTTGTGGCTCCGAGCCTGGGCCGTGGAGTCGGGTTGCCTTTCTTTGTCTCTGGCTCCCGGCACCTGCATTACCCAGAGTCAGCTGCTCCCCTCCTCTGTGCCGGTTTCCTCTTCTGTGAATGGGAATGAAAACAACGCTCACCTCCTAGGGTAGTTACAAGGAGTAAGTGTGTTCAAGTGCCCAGAAAGGCACGTGGTAGGTACCACGGTTAACGTCCAATAAATATCAGTTGTTGTGAGGCCTAGTGTCTTTTTTTTTTTTTTTGCCCTTGCTTTACTGTAAATGGGGCATCTCCCCCCTTTTCAGACTCATTAAAGGTTTTGTTATGTTATGTCACAGTTCTGTTTATACCCCTCCTCCCAGCTGCATTTGTCACCAAAGTGAAGGCCCAGGTCTCTGGAGCCCACTCTCTCAGTGAAACAAGAAGATCAATGGGCTACTCCCCTTTGAACATAATTAATGTCAGAAGCTCTTCTGCGATAGTTTAAAGTTGGACATATTCCCCACACACAATGGGGAATGAATGGCGTCTAAGAGCGTTACTCCTCTGCCGCCCGCTCCTTCCCCCGTGGACCCCCAGCCAGGTGGGAGTTTTCAGAGAGCTTGAATGCCCTCGGTAAACGCGAAGTGGATCAAGTTGTAGGCCAGAATGGACTTACCTTCATAACGTTAGCGCTAATGGGGCCTGGACGGAGATCTTACGGAAGATGCAATATATACTACTGTGTAAATGCCTTCAAAAGAGCTTCCAGCGTCTCTCCCATTGAAAGACGTAAAATCCCAGAGCAGAGAATTTGCAATTTGCGGTGTCTTACACGAACAAGACAGTTAAGCAGTTTTAAGAGACCTTTGTTCTTCTGCGGGTTTTTATTTTTATCTTGACAAGCACCTCCTACTTTTTTTTCTGCTCTCGTGAGTCCCTTCCCAGTCTTAGGTATTCTCGCTCCGAAAGAATCTGTTTATGTTTTAAGAAGAGACAAGGAAGGATGATGAGAAAATTCTGACGATTGCTCAGTGTGTGAGTGGTTTCTGCAGGGGTCAGTTTGATCGCCGTGTAGCAGGTTGGCTTTCCTGACCTGTCGGTAGGAGACTGGTTCCTAGCAAAAATTAAGTGACACTTGGAGGTTCTCGCCGGTTTACTTATTTCTTTACTCAATATTCATTCTACAAAATAAATCAGTAAGTGATGTTCTATGAGAGATATTAGTGATTCCTTAAGATACGTTCGAATACTATTCATCTCAAAATTTAAAGAGTTTACTTAGAAAAACTATTTAAAATTGGAATATTACAATAAAAAATAAGCTTTTACTTAAAAACTAGAGAATGTTAAGGTAATGCAGTTTATTAGTTTAAGAAAGTTTTAAAAATATGAATTTAAAATATTTGTAACAGCTTCATAGTTACTTTAAAATCCCCTGCCACCCCCAAACTCCTTCAGTTCTGATTTCTAAAATAATTTTTTTTTAATTCTGAAGTTTAAACTTACTTTTTTCAGTGCGAACATGTCCAAGTTCATTTTCTACCTGATGGAAAACACCGTGTTCCTTCACCTGTCAGCAGCTCAGCTGAGCAGTCAGGCTGCATTATTCAGTATCTTGTGTGAGGTGAGGAGCGGTCCAAAGGAAAAGATATCGCAAATTGGTGCCACACTTCGATAAATAGAGACATTTTATTTTTCACCAAGCTAATTCAATCCAGTTCAGTTAACTGTTTCTTCCCCTACGAGGACAGATCAAAAAAGCGGCCATGAATGAGTGAGTCTGTCATGCGTCTGACACGTCAGGGTGCGACTGGGAAGCCGACCCACGAGGGAGGGTTCTGCCTTTAGATTTCAGACAATGCCCCACACAATGGCCCTGTCCGCAGCAGAGATGGCTGGGGGGCTGGGGACGGCTGGGGACCACTCCAGCGTCGGAGGGCTCCGATTACACTCAGGCAGGCCGGGACCCGGAGGGGCTCTGCCGTGTCCCTGCACCTGTAAACCCCTGCCGCTGCCACCTTCACAGTGCCACCCTTCTGAAGGGACCCCAGACATGTTTCAGGTCGTCACCGAGTGTCACTTTAGCTCCAGAGGGTACGGCCGTCGGGTGCCGTAACTTCTATGACTTTGATAAAATCTTTGTCCTAAATGTCTGTTTCTGAAAAACCCTTATCAATGTAAATAGAATACTAGCATCTCTATTTCTTAGTTCAACCGTTTCTTCCCCAGACGTAGTGAAATGTACACAGTCATCATACTGGTCTTCAAGGGTGGGACGGGGCGGGCTGTGCTGCCGCACACGAAACCTTTAGAGAACGTCCTGCAAGAAGACGGAACGTGCCAAGGAGTTGCCTGTTGCTCTGTGAGCAGGTGCAAGGGCCCCATCTCGGCATCAGAACCCTTCCCGGGCTGCTTCCCGCGGCCGCCTTGGGTTCCAGTCTCTGCTGTCCGCGGGGACACCGCTGTCGGGCAGGCCCGGGCCGTGCCCTGCGTCTCCAGAGTCCTCTGTCTCTGGCCTGCCGGCGGATCCTTCATGCCATTGAGAACCCCACCTTTTCCTCGGCCAGTCGCCGCGGTGGGGTGCTCCTTCCTCCAAGTGGTCGGAACGTCTCACTCTCAAGAGTGTCGTCCCGACCTCCCCCGAGTGCAGCCTGGCCGTGCGCTTGCCCCCCGTGAGGGGAGGCGCACTTTCCGATTAATCCACGCGTCCCGTGTGTTCACGGCTTCGCAGTGCAGCCCGTGCTCACTGCGTGCAAGGACGGGGTCCGGGGCTGCGTGTCACAGGCGGGAGGACGGATGCCAGAGCCAGACACCCCCGCCATCACCAACGGGATGACCACACTCAAGCTACCACGCCGCTTCGTGGCTCTCGCTCCTTATTCTGGAAATGAAGATCTTACCTACTTCAAGGGCCGTGAAGATGAAATGAGTGAATTTGGGGAAAATGCTTCGAACGGTCTAAGTGCTTTGTAAATTATTAAATAAAATAAATGATCGAACCCGTGCTGTCTGCTGCCCACCGTGCTGAGTGCTTTACACGTTATGAACTAACTTAGTCTTCACTGTTGTCGCACATGGTCGACCCTGTTGCCATCCCCACTTCGCAGACGAAGGAGCCCAGACAGTGAAAGTTGAGTAACTTGCTCAAGGTCACGCAGCAGGCACAGGGCAGGACCAGGATTTGCGTCCACACTTCCTGGTACCAGGGCCCTCCGCACCCTCTGCCTGTAACCGCCGTGGTGTCTGTGACACCGAGTGTCAGTCACTTTGTCCTGGAGGTTATCACGGTCAGATGGAGGGAGATGCAGCAGAATGTGTTTCTTGGCCGTGGGAAGACGGTGAGCCGTGAGAGAATGGCGAGATCGGTCCCGCTGGACCCTGGCGCTGACCGCCAGGACTGAGAGCCCGAGGGGATGGGAACCCCATGTGTGCGCAGCTGCTCCCCTGGCGCCCCGGGCCGAGGTGTGCTCTGTGATCGTGCCTTTTCGGGTTTTGTTTTTGTTGTTTCCTTTGAAGCCGCTGTTTTTGTCTGGCTCCTGAGACCTTGCTGGTACAGCGATCTAGCCCGGGACCGTGCAGAACACAGTAAAGGCGGTGGTGAGACACAGCAAGTGAGAATGTGTCAGCTGCCTCGGCCTATAAATAGTGCATTCGAGGTATTGAAAACATGTTTCATTCTCTCCTGCCGCGTTGCCCAGCTATACCGAAGTCCTAAATGTATGCCTAGGCATCTTAGCTAGAAGAGGTCAGCCACCAGTTCAGGAAGCTAGCACTACAAATCTTAGTCGTAACACATGAAGCCTTGGATAGAAGAGAGATTCTTTTGAGGTGGTTGTACATGGCGTGTATGCTTTGTAGATTTACAGCTTGGGACGTGTACCTGCAATAATAGATTATTTCCCAGACGTCCTATGTAGTGTCCAGATTTTTGTGTGCACAGTCAAAAGTTTTAAAAGTGAATTTCTTCAAAGGATTCCAATTATTCAGCTGATAAAGCACAGATAATGTAAAAAAATATTTTACTGTGAAGTCTTTGGAGGAGGTATAAAAGGTTCCTAGGATAGAAATGCTTTGAGGAGGTTATAATGGCTAATACTCTTAAGTGCGGGGTAAAAATTAAACTTGAATTGCAACGATGAAATATTTACTCATCAGATGGCTTTGAAGTTTAGCTGCTCTTTGGTCGCGGCCTTCCTCCTAATGGACATGTTTCGGAGAAGAAAATGATTACAGCCCTCAGCTGTGATGTTTTCTTACTCTCTGTGTAGAGGAAATCCTTTTTTTTTTTTGGTCCATTTGGGTGTTTGAGTTTTGAAGACCAGCTACTTAGAAATCACATTCATTGCAGAGATGGTTCTGACCACTGTGAATGCATTCTCATTGATAGGCTAATGTTTAAAAGGTAATTTTTCTAATACCTGTAGGATCTTTTGAAAAGTTTGCTTTAACTCTTTTATGCTACCATCTTTCCAACTTAAATTTATTCTCCATCATTTTATATCAAGAGGCCTAAGGTGTGTGCATGCAAAATGAATAATAACGTTATGAAACTGGGTTTTATGAAATTGCTCCATGGGTAAAATGCTTCTGTTTAAAGCTATTCAGAAACTGCATGTTTAGAGGTACAGTTCTTCAGTTCTGATAGTAACTGAGGGGTTTTTTGTCTAAGTTTAAAAATTGTAGTGGCTTCAGAATGTTGAGTAGATACTGGTTTTCTTCTAAATCCTGGATAAAGTTTCACCCAGATGAGTGATTTAGGACTTTAGAAATTGTTACTGAAATGTTGGTTAACAGTGTTCTGTTTTTATGTTTCCTCCCATGTGGACTATGGTGCATTTTTAACATTTATGTTTGTCTTTTGTTGCTCAGTTTTCCTATGAACCTGACAAGCAGTGAAGACCTCAGGAAAATCCCGGTAAGTCGTGGAGGGGTTTGCAGGAGAACAGAGAAACAAACCACAGGCCAGCCTTCTGTCTGGTCCCCGTTTCTAAGAGGGCCTCCATCTCCTTGAACCCTCCAGTTACCTGCAGGTTATAGCTCAGCGTGATGATTGGAGGAGAAAGAAGGAAAGCAACATCTTTATTTTTACCGTATGATAGGGTGTGACTTCTGTACAATTTCTGGAAGTTCAGGTAAACGGAATTAGAATTGATGTGTGCTTGGAGTTTACGCATTTTGTTTGCAGACTCTGTTCAGATAAATAGGGAAGCTGTATGTCAAGGTCAAAATTATAGTTATAAAATAAGAGCATGTGGGGAAAACAAACATTTTTGTTGTTGTTACTGGGACAAAGACTGAAGAAAGACTAAAACTGTTTGTGAATATTCAACAGTAAGAAAAGCGTCCTGGCAAGAGATCCCGCTAACCATGAAAGTGTTTGAAAGAACCTGCCGGACACTCACCTGGCTAGTCAGGACAAAACCGTGTATGCTCACAGGCTCGCCAGCCACCGGCTAAATTAACGCACGTCTTTGGCAAGGCTTGTGCAGATATTGTGACTTTTTTTTATTGTTATTTGAAATCCAGTTTTGTGTCTGTTCAGAGTTCCATTGCATCTTCAGTCAGTTCTAAATATATTAAACCTAGGGAAGAGGTTACTTTGCAAAAACTTGGGCACATGTTCTTGGTAGAAAACCAAACTCTCACTGAATAACAGAAATAGAGCCTTTATTCCAAGAGGCTGGCGGTTGCTGTTTGAACCATCTGTCCTTAAAGTGTGCGGTCCAGATGTATAATAAGAATTTTTTAAAGCAATAAGATGCCACAATTTTCTATAATGAGATATGCCCAAAATAAACCATGGTGGTGTAGAAACCATTCTAAATGTAGTCATTTCTTTAAAATTGTAGAAAACATAGAAGCGGAGGACTTTGTATTGTGTTTTTGCTGCTTTATGTAAATGATTTGTAAGTTTTTATGTTTCATAAATACTCAAGTCTTTATAATATGGCAGTCTGGCGAGAAATGTCAGAATGTATGAAGTCAGCCTTTGATCAGATAGTAAAATGAATTCTATCAGGCGATTACTTAATCTCAAACAAAATGCAACATCAAAAAATCGATTTAATGTGCAGCGATTGTTTATTAAGTAACCTTAATTACAATTTCTATGTGCTTGTAAATGTACTTTTCCAAATCTTGTAATTTATTTCTATAAAAGCATCCTTAGAATTCTTTAAAGAAATAAAATGTGAAAATTGTTTTAGTTAAAGGATTTAAAGGTGATAAAAGAATCCTTGATGTGTGATTATTTTTCTCCGGAATACTAACTCTTCTAAATGACAGTTAAAGGATTACTAGGTGTTGTTAATTTACTGCAAGATACAATTAAGAGGAGAAAGCTCATCCTCATGCTGATCGTTTTCGAGGAAAAGTATTTGAACGATTTTTATGGTGAAGATCATAAGATGTTTGAAGTAATTTACATTAAGTTCTCCCATAATAGCCATCCAGCAAGTTATTTTTTCCCCCTTCTGGACATAGTACTTTGTAATTAAGTTCGTGTGTCTTACAGGCTGGTGCCAACACCTGTCGGTGAGAGCGCCGTGTTTAAACAGGACCAGTAGCCAGTTGAAAGGGCAGCGCGAGCTCTTTAAGGCCTAATTAAGACCTGAAAGGGAGATGAAGGGAGCAGGACAAAAGATGTGAAAGTAGCTGAGATGATATTCCCAGAGCAAAGTTCCTCATTAGAACAATAATGAGATGATCACAGAATGCCAACCCTTCATCTTATCTCTCTCCCGCTCCCCTCCAGTTGCCTTGGGTGTCAGCTACAGCCCCACCAATATTTGGTTGCCAGGACAACCTTTCTTTAAATCTTCAGTTATTTTGAGTCCTGATAATTTGCTTTTGTTCCAATTTAAATATTGTAAAAAACATATCCATTTCCTGATGTAAGTAAGAGGCTAGGCTGTGTATAAAGTAACAACAGATCCCTGGTCGCACTCAAAGGCTTCTGCACAACTGTGTTATTTAAAGTTCTGATTAGGAAACTTCTTGTAATAATTCCACTATTCTCTCCCTAATTTCTTGTTCCTGCGTATGAAAATTTTTAACAGAGGTTGGGTATGAACGAGAAAGGGTTGGTCGTGAAAGGGGAAGAGAGAAGAAAAATGTACATTACATGTCAGTGTGAGAAGACATCTTAAAAACATATGTGCTGTCGAAAGGCTCAGGGGGAAATGCTGAGAACTTAGGAATCGCCCTGTAGGTTTTTGGAGTCTTTACCAGTTTGGAAATTTCTCAATTTTAGATGTTTTTCCAATAATAGTATTAAAAAAATCTTTTGAAAAAAAAATCAATTTTTATATTTGCCTGAGAGTTTCCCTCTTTAAGCAAAATAATTTTTCCTGACCGGAAAATGTTTTAGTTTTCTGTTGTATATATTAATTGATATTAATCTTTATTATTTTATTTAGAATCATATCAGTAAACAAGGATTGATGTTTATCAATTTAAGAATCTCTTGTTTAATATTAAAAGGTTTACATGATTTCCAAATATGGGGTAAAATCTGGAACTAAGCATAAAACTGTTTTTAATTATATTATATTCTTTTTCAGAATTTAGTTTATAGTACATGTGTTTCTAAGATGTTTTTCTGCCTAGAAACTTGATGCAGAAATTTGGGGTAAAATTTTCACATAAAAGGACAAATGGAAAATTTATTGAAAAGGTCAGAAATGTATTTTCAGGAAATCTGTCTATAATAGTATAGACATAATAATACTTAAGTCTAATATATAAGTATTAGACAGTTGTAGGGGAAAAAAAATAAGCCAAATAATGGATCTGTATATTTTAAATTGTGACTGTAAAGTGTCAAACAATATTCCAGAATAATAATGGATTATTTTGAGATTAACTTGTTAAATTGATTTATATCATGGCATTAAATTTAGATGATATCAAAATAAGATTTTTTTAACATCTTTCTTCCTCACTGTCTTTAGAGAAATGGTAAAGTTTTTTTTAGCTGTGTTTTCTGATAGTGCCGGCATGTAGTGCTCAAGTGATTTTCTGTGTTCATCGAGTACTTAGTTTGGAGAAGTCAGTTCATATATGTATAATTTGATTAAGATTAGTGAGACTCATACATGCTATTCTTATGTTAAATTAAGAGAAAACCATAAAAGTCAACCAATCAGTAATGAATCCCATTTAGTTTAATGACATTAATCCCTACAATTCTCACAAGAATCCCTATTTTTCATTAAATGTTTTATTAGAAGAATGAAACTGAGTCAGTTGGATGGTGCCACTCTCCTAAAGTGCAGCTGAGAAAACTCGGCGTGTAGACAAGGAGACTTTAGAGTTACAAGAGACCCTGGAGGCGAGCTCATTTATCAAATAAGGAAAGCGGAGCCTCGGTTGGTTTCTGGCTCAAATTTGTGCAGAATTACTCCGGTTAAAGTGAGACACTTCAGCTTATTTTTAATAAATTTAAAAGATATACTTACCTGTATTGTATGTCTTATCTTTTCTGTAGAAACCTGCTTAATATTACAATTATTTAATAAGAATGTGGTTAAGGAATTATAATGTTTATATGTCTAAACTACTCATGACCAAATTAAACACAGGAGAGAGTATGTGTATTGAGGATTAATCTTTAAAAGGATTAATTGATCTGAGAGAGAAGAGAATAAAAAGTAAATTCACACTGTGTCCAAAATCGTCCTTCAATTGTTGCAGAGCAACATTCTGGAATGTTTTTAGGGACAAAGGTAATACAACACATAAAGTTGTATTTGTTCCCAGTTTCTAATGCTGAAACAAAGTAAGTTTTCACAAGTACATATTACAGAACTTAAACTCGCATCCTTTAGTGCTGTCTCTCTCCATTCTGTTAATCTGGTGGAGGCTCTTACTAAGTCCCCTCCGTAATATTTCAGCAGCTTTATAACTGACCTCAGTCCCTCCAAATGATTCTACGCACTGCTGCCATTTTAATTTTCCTGGAACTTAGCTTTAATCACTTCCTTCTTGTCTTTGGAGACGTTCAATGCCCTCCTTTTCCCCACAGCAGTAAGTCTACAGGTCCTTAATGATGGCATCGAACGTCCTTGAAGGTCTGCCTGGAACCCACCGTTTCAGCCTTTCTCTGCTCCCTGTCCTGAACCGCAGCTTCCAGCCGCATACTCCACCGATGACCTGTTTGATCAGTATGCCCGCAACCTCGTTTCTTTCTTTGAACACGCAGAGATGCCCACCGTTTGAGATGCCCATGAAGCGTTTCTGCTAAGGGCAGGCTGTGGCTTCTCCAGAAAGCCGGAGAGATCCCATGGGGGTGGAAACAGTTCTCCACCCTGAATTTTTTTCCTTGTCCCAGAGAAGAAAGTGTGGTTCGATGACCCCAGCAACGCCCTGTTGTCCGGGCCCCAGCCTGAGCTTCGGTGCCCGCAAAGCCGTGCGCGGCGCCTGGGGCAGGAGAGGACAGAAAGTTACACCTTGGCTCCACTCGTGAAGACTTCCGGACACATAGCAAATTAGAGTAGATCCTGAAAATGAGTAAAGACACATTTAATCCCTATTTTTAAAGAAAGGAAGAAAAATGGCCTTTCTGCATTCATTGGTTCCTGTTCTCCGTCCCCCGCTGTTTAGAGTAGATACTTTTAGTCTGGAAGAGTAAGAGCAGTTTCCTCAGTATTTTAGGTTATTTTCCTTAAAGCCAAATGGAAATGTTTTGAAAGAAAGTGATGAAAACCATTCTAAGTTGTTGAGTTTAATACTAGAACTGCATATGAAAAGGCATTAAAATGCTACTTTATATTTGGCCATTATATTTTACATATTGAAAAACTTAATTACTTTATTACTGTAATAGATGTCATTATTTTTAGCACATTCCCAAGAAATATATATATTTTTTAAAGACTTTATTTATTTATTTTTAGAGAGGGAAGGGAGGGGGAGAGAGAGAGAGAGAGAAACTGATATCAATGTGCAGTTGCTGGGGGTCGTGGCCTGCAACCCAGGCATGTGCCCTGACTGGGAATTGAACCTGCGACACTTTGGTTTGCAGCCTGCGCTCAATCCACTGAGCTACGCCAGCCAGGGCCCAAGAAATACATTTTTAATGTTAAAATGTGTAATGAACATGAATTAAATCAGTGCCCTTTTCTTTCTTTTTTGTTTATATTTACGTTTACATAAAAAATTTCATCAATAGAATAAATTTTACAAAATAAGCCAATAGTGACATGGAAGACAATGTAGATATACTAATCCTAAATATCATTATCAGAGTTGAACTCTGAGTTTCCTGATAACCAGGGCAAAAAGGGAAATAAGATAAAATGTATAGGTATTGGTACTATGAGGAGGAAATGAACTAGTTACTCAAGGGAGAAGGAGCTGTTTGCCTCTGAATTAAAGCAGAAGTTACTCCCACGGGAGCTTCTTATAAGGAAGCCCGTTGATTTAATTCTGAATGCCTTCAGCATTTCACAGCAAGAAGCCGATTTGGTATTGCTGCTGCTTGTAACCTTCTCCAATCAAAAGGCGTGACAGTAAATGACAGTTCAAGGGAAGTGATTCCATGAGAACTGATGTCCCAATGCGTCGTTTTCGGTAGCTTTCTGTAGTTGCTCCAAGTTAATTCTCAGAGGTCTTTAGGGGATTTTTAGATATATTTATTATAGAACGTCGTATCGTAATCTTACGTTGTATGTCGATTCCTTGTTTTAGGACGTTGCCTGCATTGTAGCAAAGGGTTGTAGGAGAGTTCAGAGTCATAATGAAGACTTGCGCACGTCTGGCCCCGTGCCTGCCTCGGCACAGACCCGCCGTCCTGTGGGCTGTTGCGTTGGCTCCGGCCAGGGATAGAGGGGGCACTTGACCAGGGCTCGAAAAACCGAAAGTTGGAGTTCAAAATGATTCCGATTTTGTCCCTGATACTGTGTCTACTGAAGTGACACTCTGTATCCTGTTCCAGGACAGCAACCCTTTTGACGCCACGGCGGGGTACCGCAGCCTGACCTACGAGGAGGTGCTCCAGGAGCTCGTGAAGCACAAAGAGCTCCTGCGGAGGAAGGACACCCACATCCGGGAACTGGAGGACTACATCGACAACCTCCTGGTGCGGGTGATGGAGGAGACGCCCAGCATTCTCAGAGTGCCCTACGAACCGTCCAGGAAGGCCGGCAAATTCTCCAACAGTTAGGAAGCCAGTTGTACCGTGCTTTATAATGGGGGTGGGGGGGGCGGCGGGGGCGGGGGAGGGGAGAAGGGAAGAAAGAGAAAGAAAGCAAAGGACAGGGAAAAAAAAAGAAGAAAGACTTGTTACCGAAAGAGACTACTACACCTCCAGGTTTCATTACATGCTCTTCTCCATTGTGAAAAATTGTTTTACCTGCAAATACCAGCAGGGACTAGCAAGCGTGACCTTTGAAGTAAGCTATGTCACTTAAACTTTTCAAGTTTAAAAGTGAAAATGGGCCAGATTCTCGATCAGTATGCAGTTCCTTAGGTCTCTCTTAGGTGCTGGAACCAGCCCGTGAACCCCCCTGGGCCTAGGAGTGTCTTCAAAGGTACATGACTTACTCCTCAGGAATAGATTTCTCATCAACTGAGATGTGAGAATTGATACTGTGGTTGGTTCCCCAGCATTCGATGTGTAGACGATTCAGCTGCAGGAATACTGCTCACGATACACACTACTTTAAAGAAAAAAGTTCGTATTTTATATACATATATATGTACGTGAATGTAAGTTCACGTATATTTGTGTATAAAATACGTGCATATACCTCACGTATACATGTGTTTTTAGGACATTGAGAAACAACTGGCTGCCTCTAAAATTAGGATGCCGATTCTTAACTTGAAAACGTGCGTGCGCTGTTGCCGCGCCCCCACCGCTACTACAGTGTTACGGTTCGGTCCGGAGGGGCTGCTTCCGGTCACTCTTGACGGCGTGAACCTCGGTTTCAAAAGGAGCTGCTGCTCTGGACCACTCCTGCATCAGATGTTTGCTCCTCACCCAGAAGTAATGCTCCAAAGTCCTTTTTTTAACTTGATTAACGTCACAGCAGCATGGACTTCTTGAATTCATTTTTTTTTTTAACATTTGAGTTTTGTTGAAGCTCTCAGCAGAAGATAAGCTAATGCGATTTGTTTTGTTGAGATTCTGAATGCCTGTAAATCACTGGCAAAGAAAATATTAAGAAGTTCAAGCTGACGATAATTTGGTGGAGGAGTCGGTGATCCTCTGATGCCTGATAATCCAAAGCAGTGGGCAAACTCTGGGAATAAAGCATTAGGCTCGGTTTCCAGTTACATAAATAATAGAACAGATGGTTGCATTTGGGTCTTGAACCAAAATAACAAGTTACTGAAGGAGGACGGAGTCTGCAGAAGGGATCTTGGCTCGCATGGCGTTGCACATTGCTCTTCACTGACCCTTTTAAAAAGGAATTGATTTATCACAAAATTATACGTCGGCTTTTCTAAATCAGTCTGCCCCCCCCCCCAAAATGTTGATTGCTTCCACGAATTGTCTTTATGTATTTGTACAAAACTAGTCTGAAATTTAAAGTGAAGAACACTGGTTATAAAAATATTACTAATTACTGCTTTTTACCTTAAACGTATGAAATACTTGCTATGAAACACCGAATCTGTCTCCTCTGAACTTAAAATGAAAAGCATTCCTGTGTGTGGAGACACGTATTTCTCAATCTTTTAATGAAGTACATTTTTGTCTAATATGTGTCTCTACTAAGACTTCATTGAACGTTAAATACAAAGCAGATATCATAGTTTTGCTCATTTTAATGTTTTGAATCATATAATACTTGGCTAAGCTTATATTCAATGTATAAGCTAAAGTCCTTTGTTATTTATATTTTCTGAGTTTTTTTAGTTTTCCTGTAAGAGCATACATTTTGAAATTATGAAAATTTTCCCCAAGTACAAAAATAATTTTTTAAAATGAAGAAATAGAGAAGGAAAAATAGCTTTACCAACTTTTCCTTCTTACATATTTCTTTAATAAACTTCAAAATCTGGGGTAGAGTTTTATTTTCCCATTTGAAGTCTTAATAATTATTTTTTTAAATGGTGCCATTTTTAATTAATGTTTATTAAATATTAAAAAATTCTTAGCATTTATTTTTTCTGTTAGTATGATTGAAGCACATTTTACACTTTTTTAAAATACCAAAATCCATGTGTTTTTAGTAGTATGACAGATTATTTGCAGATATTTTAATTTGCTTTGGCCAAATTTGCTCTTTATAGAATGAATGGAGATGTTGGTTTTGTGTTGGGGATATGTTTTATGTGAAAGAGCTCATTAAAAACTATGGTTCAAGTAACTGCTATTCTTTTTATGAGGAAATTCATTTTTAAGGAGACATTCTTTGCTTGTATAAAAATAGTTAAGAATTAGACTTATCCATATGTGAGCGGATTTAGTTATAAGTGACCCAATATTTTTATCCTTAAATCTGAAACAAGAATTCTATTGAAAACTCAATCTGCATTTATCACTGCCTAAAAATGTTCTAATTGGATGTTTATGAAGTTTCAGTCATGACCTAGAACACAACATATTACATATATTTTCATAGTTAGTCAATATAACAAACTGAAAAGCAGTGAAAATCCGCTTCCCAGTAAACATATCAGTATTTCCCATGTTTGGGCAGAAGTGCAAACAGTAGGTTTATTTCCTAGCATCGTAGAATAAACGGCAGAAAGATTGCCTTAGTTTGTTTTTCCAAAATGTAGCTTTTAAGTATTAATGGTGTATTTTGTTCGTAGCTTAGAAATGGAGATAAAATATAGGTACTCATGAAATAATGCACAGCACTATAGGCTTATAAATGGATTTTGTTTATGCTTAAAAATGCATGCTCAAAAATACTTCCACCAATAAGAGGATTTTAAAAAAAATCACAGAATTGATGCTTATCTCAAGTCTATCTTAAGTTAATATACTTCTGTTGATGTAATTAAAATATTTCTATTATTTTACAACCAGTTCCCCTCCCAGCTTTAAAACTCAGTGTTGAAAATACTGAACATACTGTTCTTCCACTTCAGCTTCCACTTCGTGCACTGACCCCTGGGTCCTGTCTTAGCATTGTACATAGAGTGACGCGTCACCATTCATGAGAAATGCTCACGTGTTGCTTTTGGCTGCTGTGTTCTGCATTGAGCCTGGTTTTGCCATGCCCCCACGAATGTGGTATTACCCATAGATTATACATAACCGCGTCTATTGCTTTTGGCAGTAAATGAAGATGTCGTCGTAATTTTCCAGCTGTGAAAATGTTGCCTTGTATTTAAAAGGGTTTCGTGGCTGGAAACCTCAGTAAAACGCAGCTCATTAGCGACAGCCCTGCTTTCCTCCCCCCTCTGCCCTCGCTCACCCCCCCCCCCGCCCACCCCCCCCCAGTAGGGTGCTTGTTCTTTAGCAAGGAGAATGTGAAAAGAAAAGAACTGTCTTCAATCTATCCAGTACCTGTTACACTAGAGCTTTTATTCGCCTCTGGAGCTTTCTAGGAAAAGCTACCTACCTTGGGTTTGTAAGCCCAGCGGAAACTTTGGTGTCCGTGTACTCCTGTGTCTCGTCGACGTGCTAGGTGTCGCTGGGGCGTGTGGAAGTGGAGTATGAAGCACGCTCGCTCCCTCGGCCTCTTTGAAGTGGGAGGGGAAGGATCGCAGCGCCGCTGGCTCGTGAGGGCAGGTGTGAGGGTCTGTCGGCACACGGCCGAAAGCCCCCATTTTCGCAGATTTATAACTTGCCTAATCCACATGCCGTTATTGGAAGTATTTAATATGCAATAGGTAGCACCTTAACTAATTAATCTGCATCTGAAGGGTTTTCTGATGTGTTTGATAAGTAGTGTAGCAACTCTCCAAGCATTAAGCTGGAGTTGGTGTTTTGTTTTATTTCTATGCCAAAAAAACCCCACTCTTACCGTGGAATCGAAGTCTGTAACAAACAATCCAGTGGGCCTGTTCGTCTTTGAAGCTCCCAGGTGGTTTGTATTTCGAGGTACAAAAAAAAAATGCTGCAGATCTAGAAATGTATATATTTAGCAGGTATTTGAAAGATATAAGCATTATTTATAACTGAAGAGTATTACACTTACTAAGTAAAATGCTCCAGTAACTTGTATACGTTTTTGCAGGTACAAACTCAAAAGTATGTAAGCATTGCATAATGTGACAATTGTATAATTTATGTAATCTGATGCATGAATCAGACTTTTTATATAATATATATTGATTTATTATCGTTGATTAAAGTGTTTAATCTTAATTCAGTTGTCTAATTTCTTTTTTTTAAGATTTTATTTGTTTATTTTTAGGGAGGGAAGGGAGGGAGATAGAGAGAAACATCAATGTGCAGTTGCTGGGGGTCATGGCCTGCAACCCAGGCATGTACCCTGACTGGGAATCGAACCTGTGACACTTTGGTTTGCAGCCCGCGCTCAATCCACTGAGCTACGCCAGCCAGGGCTAATTTCTTACTGCAGTTAGAACACTGTGGCATAGGCACTTGTCCATGAGTCCTCCTTGTCCATCACAAATCCTGACGGTTCCTCTTGTTGGATGCACTGCAGCGGGTGTTCTGTGAGATCTACAGACTCCTTCACTGTGAGAAGACTTCTGCAAACTCACTGAGAGGCAAATGTCTAAGTGCCTTAGAGTGGATATTCCGCAACAGCAGTGTGAATGCCCTCTGTACAGGATGTCCCCTCATAGGGATGGAGCTGTGGTTTGGTAGAAAATAACATGAGTCTTTATATAAGGCCTATGCCCAGTGCTTTCTCAGCATAGCATCCATGTACACACATGTCTGTCCAAGGCAAGCGGGAATCTCAGGACCTGGGATGGGGGTGGGGCAGGTCATGGCAGTGTATTAGGCGGTTGTATTCTCTGCTCTGAGAAGGGATCCCTACATCGTAGTCCTGGGCATCAGTCATACGCCTTTGGAGCAAGAGATTTCTCTGCAGGCCAGAACGCCTTCCCAGCCTCCCGTCGCTCTCAGTCCTGGAGGACCCGTGGAACTTAACCCTTCACTTCCCCCAGCACACTTCTGGATCATTCCCCTTCCTACCCGTTCCTGGTACACACGCTTATTTTCCCTTGGTCTACTGAGACAAAGGTATTTTGGAGGAATTTGAAAGTAGAGAGTTATTACTGAAGCAAAGTGGCTATTTTTCACGTAAGT